ATATAAAAAAATATATTAAATAATTAATATATATAATAAATTTCAAACATATTTATTTCTTAATATAAACTATTTATAACTATTATTTTTATGTAAATTATATTTTTATATATATAAAATTATATTTTTTTGTCATAATTTTTGTAGAGTATATTTGTTTTATAAATATTTTTACATTATATATCGACTCCATACCACTCTTGTTTCAGATCGTCAAAAGCTATCAGAGCGCTGGTCCAATACACCTGTGATCCTGTAACACAATGTTGAATAAAACTATTATAATTACTAAAAAATATATATATTTGTATAGAAATTATTATTTTTATATAATAATTTTGAGTTTTTAGGTAAATAATTAGTTTTAATTGAAATCTATAGTATCAATGGAATGTGATAGACATACAAAATGTTTTATTTGTATATATATACTTAATTATAATAGAAAAATATTTTTTACAAACAAAAAAATTTTTTGAGTACATACATATATATGAATATTAAGAGGTCTATGTTAATTATAAATTTCTGTATTTAAGAAGTTAAGTTTTTGTTTTAGTTAATGTGTTAAATGTAACAAACAAACAAACTGACATTTATATCAGTAGGTTAACGAAACTAAATCAGTGGAAGACAAACTAAAAAGCGAGTTCAAATATTAAGACAAGATCCTTAAAAATCTTTGAGAATTTTAAACTTACCTTAAATACATGAAAACGTATTAAACCAATTATTATTATTGTATACTTGTAATATTTTTTTTTTTATAACAAATTTCTTATTAAAAAAATATTAAAAGTAATAAAATAGTTTCTGAAGTATAGTTAAATTAACGTAATATTAATCAGTGGTGGCCTAGTGGTTAAAAGGCCTGCCTCTTAAGAGTATTTAGACATCACTGATTAATGCATTCCCAATGAGGGTTGATGTCAGGCAAGCGGCCGGTCGTAAAAACAATTAGACAAAACTATTCACAACATGTAAGGCAGACCCTGGCTAAAGCTGGGAAATTGCCAGGTAGAAGAAGGTAATGGACATGATATATTTATTAAATTTAACACACTGTTTTAAGCGTAACTGCTAAACGATAACTTTTTTATCGTTGTAACTTTTTGTTGAAACAAAAAATCAACAATATGGTCTCCATCACCTGTCTAGTGTGATCTGGGTTTTAGATGCGAAAAATTGTTATTTTTTATATAATAATTATAAATGATTTATTGATATTATATACAATGAAATTTTCTATGTGTTTTAGATAATTTCTAAGGATTGTCTCTTTGTAATGATTTGTATGGAGAAATTAGAGTGTAAATATTGTAATTGTATAATTATAGGGGCTTATAAAGTATGTATAACTATGTAATATATAATCTGTTATATACAAATTAGTATGGAATTTCTTTTTTTATACGAAGATCGAATGAATCTTATTTAAACCATCATCCTGTAAAAAAAAAAGATAAATTTTATCTTTATTATAAATCAAAATTATTGCAACGAAAATATATATAATATTCCTAACGATGTTTATACGTACGCCGAATTCTTAAACAGATGTAAAATAAAAAAAAATAGCGGTGTCTATGACAATTTTTGCCGCCCTTATTAGAATGCATAGACAAGCTTTCTCACGCACGATTCCCCAGACTATAAACATGTGAAATATAATAGCAAAAAAATTAACAGTTACACGGAAACTGTGAGCATTTTTTTTAAATACAATATGGACGACACTTCACACCCGGAAATATATCAAACTTTTTTTGGTTTTAGCACAAAATGAGATGAATTTTTTAAACTCTATTGTCTAGGGACAAAGGTCGAATATCGTCTGAACAGATTTTGTCCCTCCAAAGAAAATTAAATGAGATCTATATTTCATTTTGTATTTCTTGATCCTTTGATTAATTAATATTAACACAGCGATATTTTACTAATAATTAATAATTATTCTATAATATATAAAGACCTAACTTATTTATGACAGTAGGTAATTGAGTTAGAATTACTGTCTGATAGTACATATAAAACCTTTTTTGTGTTAGCGTCCAAGCATAGCATTGTCCAAATATCTCGTATTTACAAAAGTCATAACCATTTTGATAGTTTCAAACAAATATTGGGACGTAATGGGCCGTGTAGGTGTATTCTTTATTTCGTGGGGAATATTTCAAAACCCGTCCGGCCCAACTAAGGATATTTGTCGGTACGCGATGTCCGAGTATCCTGTACACAGTACGTACGAGTTGGGCAATTTAAACATATGAGTACTTACAAACCGCCCCGACTACTCAGCTTTAGGGGAGCATTGACCTATATCCTAGCCGGAATCGAGCTAGCGACTGACCAACTATATTAAGCTCTATTTTCTATGTCATAGAATTCAATTCTAATCATAGATTATGTATATGAACGAAAACGTCACACGTCACTTTACCGCCAATTCCAATTTGACTCTTATAAGATTGGATTTTGTTCGAAATTTAAAAATTAAACTAAAATTTTTATATTCTTTTAACGTCTGGTTGGTTAGAATTTATGTTTTTTTAAGAATTTATGCCCATAGCGTCAGTTCGGTTATATTCGACAAAACTAAAACTTTATTAGGCCCACTCAATTAATGGTTATTTTATTGTGCCTTCGATATTAGAGTATAATTATTATTTAAAAAAAGCCATGACCTTGATATTGCTACGTTTGAATGAACTGACAGCGGCAGATGTTGGATGTGATGATAAAAAATGTCAACTTTCTTATTAAAATTATAATACATACTAAAAGGCTAAATACCACCTGTAGGCGTGGTGACCTAAATATTGAAATAGGTCATTCCATGATATATATAAAACCTCATTATTAAATTAATTTTATGACATCTTTCCCTTACAGTACTTTTTTAATATACATATATTTAATCTATTAATATGTTAATATTATTTAATAGTGCTTTAATCAAAATGTTATGTACTTATAGAATTAATTAATTTATCTTATGAAAGTCAATTTCAGATAATAATAATTTAATAAAACGTAAATATTGTCAATATTAATTACTATATGGTTACATACAAACATTTTTATTTCAATTATGACATTCTTTATCTAAATATATATTTTTTATATTAAAACCTTCTTGGTTATTTTTTATAAGCTGTAACTTCCTTCGTTTCGTAATTTTTTTCTAATAATATTTCTATACGAAGTGTTTAAATTGACTAGCATCAGGATTGTCTGATATTGTCTACTTATGTTTATATATTTTTACAATAATTACTTATTATGAAATGTTTAAATTAGTAGAATTAGTATGGAGTGAGTATTTACTAATCAGTCTATATATTATTACGAGATTCATTGCTGTCATACCAATAGAGTTTTTTAGACCGCTTTATTTCTAAGTTGTCTAACTTTTAATGAACTATACAAACTCCTTATTATTTCTTTTTCTTCTTCCTGGCAATTTCCCAGCTTTAGCCAGGGTCTACCTTCCAACATAAACGCCTCCACTTTGCACGGTCTTTGGCATCCTCGGTGGTTAATCTATTCTAACTCCTTATTATATTATTATAAATCTTTAGCTTGACAAAATGTGAAGTTATTTTCTTTCCTGAATATGTTTAATTTTGTTTTACACCAGTCGTGGAAGTTTGAAGTATTGATCGCTATTCATTTAATTTAACGAGATCGAAAGGACTTTTATGTTATAATAATAAAGGTATAAGTAATTTATTATAAAATAAATTTTATAAAACATTACATATGCATTTATATATTATAGAAGTGGTTTAAATTTGAGAACATATTATATAAAAGAGAAATTTGTTTTTTAATTATATGTAAAAGTACTTATTTAGGTGAAAATTTATATTATTCTAGATAATGACAGAGAAAACAACGTGTTTTATAAAATAGGATAAGCATCTTTGAATATTTTATTAAGTAAATTCAAAACAATAATTTCGTATAATTAATTTTAATCAAAGCATCTTTTCAAATTAATAACTATTAGTATGATAGTAGGTAGTGAAATATGTATATAAAATCTTGGCTCAATATATGTAATATATTACGTAATGAAAATCCTTATATACAAAGTATTTCAAATATATTATGTTTTCTTTTTAAATTTTATATGTGGTCAGTGGTGGCCCAATTGTTAAAGGGCCTGTCTCTCGTTGCCGATGGCGCGGGTTCGATCCTGTCAAGTACCAATGTGAATTTTCCAAGTAATATGTACTTTTTAAGAGTATTTAGACACCACTGACATACGGTGAAGGAAAATATCGTGAGGAAACCTGGACTTATAATATCACAATTATAAGTTTGAAATCACCAACCCGTCTTGAGCTAGCGTGGTGATTAATGCTCAAACCTTCTCCATGTGAGAAAGAGGCCTTTGCTCAGCAGTGGGCTCTGATAGGATAAAAAATTATTATATTATTTTTACAATATTACTTAGAATGTAATGATTTCTATGACTTTCGCTCGTATTCATTTAAATGAAACTAATATTTTCGGATTAAGTAATATTTAAATTACTAAAATGTGTTTATTTGCGTATAATACATATATATTGAGTATTGACATTGGATGAATGGCTGAGACTTGAGATCGCTTCTAACAAAATATTAAAATAAAAGTGCTCGTCAAATGACAAGTGACTCAGATAGCTTTTTCGTTTTTAGCGAAAAAAACTTTGTTTTATTTTAAGAATATCATGAAAATTGCTAAATTAATTTCTAAATGAAAAGTCTATTTTAATATAAACTTCATTGTCAAAATTAAATACATAATTTAAACTTATAATACGTAAGATAATTATCAAACATTGACATTGAATTCCAAAATTTCCATCACCCTTTTTGTCTTTACAATAATTTATAAAAAAAACCTGAAATATAAAAATTCTCTATATCAATATTATGCTTCAAATATAGTTTATTTTATTATTTTTCAAGGAAATAATAAAAGTATATAGTAAGTGATAAAAATTAGGTCTAATCAAGACTTTGAAGGTAGTTTTTTATTTCGTATTTCCCATTATCTAAGGGTCCAAGGAGGTCCAAGGTCCAAGGAGTTTGGTTGATGACCTCCTTCAATCTAAATAGGTCGTTCATCCCGGGGTCAATGGCCTTAACAGGACTCAAATTTTGAGGGCTCCATTTTTTATCGAAGTCTAACGCCTGATTTAAAATTATGGTACCGTTAACTGGGGTACACACCACACTATGATTTAGGGATAAATCTTAAGATATAAAACCATATTATAAAATTGACTTAATTTTTTTTTTTGGAAATTTTAACGTGTTATTACTAATACATATCAAAATCGATCGTATATTTTTTATTAAATAAGCTATGTTTATATGAATTTAATTAATTTCATTGTATAATAGTAATAATGTTTTGCATAATATAAGTCATAAGACTTATCGTAAGATTGTATCCCGTGTGTGTTGTATTTCCGCATTCCTCGGCCCGACCTACTGCGCTACTGGCCAAGTCCCTGATCCTGCCGCGGGCTGGGCCGACGTTTTATCGATAGTCGATAAATCTGTACTATATATATATGTAAAATAGTCGATAAATTTTCTTGTGTGTTACATGGAGTAATAAATTTCAAAGTATATTATTATATAATAATATTTTTCAAACTTTATCGAGAGTCGATAAATCTGTACTATATATATATTTAGTCGATAGATTTTCTTGTGTTTTATATAGTAATAATCTTCAAAGGTCAATATTAAGATAAAATGCAATGATTATGAAGGTACATACAATATTTAATATGTATATATTTTTAATTACGCTACAAGTTGTTCGTAAGATGAAGGTCGACTAAAAATAGAAAATTGCTAAAGAATTAACAGGTTTATTATCTTTGTTATAGACGGGTTGAAATTTTAGTATTTAAAACCTGGAACAGCTGTTTAATACACCTGGTACAACGAAATATTCTAGAAATAATATATATTAATTCAATTTTGATATTACTTATACTTTTAATAGTAAAAAGAACTAAATGCGTCTATATAACACGATTTTAATAGATTTTTTATCACTTCTTTAAATGTATGCATATTGTGTAAATTTATATCACAGAAATGGCCCCGATATATAAAAAGTGCAGTTAAAAATACAAGTTATAATACTTTGAACTTAATTTCGTAAATGTTAATATATTTAATTTGTCTTCATATAAACAGAACCTTGCATGACATTGTATTAAAAGGTAATGTCACGACATTCTGTATTATTGAGTAATCGAAAATGTCCTTAACAAAAATTTTAAATGATTAAAATATCGATATATTTTATATACATCACTATGAAACAAGTTACAAAGATAGATACATCAAATGTTAGGTGAATATTATATAATATATGCTTCGGAATAACGGACTCTTCTTAGATTGATGGCACCAAGATATTCAAAGCGCCCAAACCATTATTGTACTATCATGATGCATTGAACATACAGCCAATGTAACAAATTATTTATACCCCATATAAATTGTACTATAATTAACGATATATTTTTTATCTTTTAAATGCATTCTTTTGTATACAATAAATATATTTTTATATAATTTATGGCTTTATGGCTTTCGATCTTTGCTTGAAAAAAATTATATAATTAAAAAAAAATAACGTCATTTAGTTTCTCTGAAAATTTTATCAAATATTTTTGTATATTAATTATAAGTTTGTATGTATGTTTACTTGAAAATAACTAAACTGTATTATGCAAATAATATTAGTAGATAAATAGATAGAATAACAGAAAGGCTTTTATCTTAATTCCCTCTGAACAGAACGAGTCTGGATGAAAAACTAGTGTAGTTTATATGTATTGTACGAGTCAATTGATTTGTTGAGGATAATGCATTACATATTATGAGATTTTTGCTTCAATAATAATTTTATAGCCACCAAAATTAATAATTTAGTTGCAATTGGATTATTTTATGTCTTTCGTTTTTATTATCTATCGTATGTTTCTGTTTGATCAAAATTAATAAAGCCACAAACCGATTATTATATTTATATATTTGTTTTGCTAAGAGTTTTTTTCCAAAAAATCCAGATTACCTTAAAGTTTATTATTTACTGTTATTTATTTACTTATAAATTATTTTTGTTATTATCCTTTAATTTGAGTCGTATTTTGTCTAAAGAATTTCAGAATTATTCAAATACATATATATAGTTATTATAGATTAAATATTTTTAATCATACTATCCTTAATAATTTTGACGTAACGTCAAAATATATAATCTGTTAAATAAATGGATGAAATAAAAAACAGGTATAAATATAAAACAATATATTTTATTATTTATTCATTTAGAAGTAATTTATTACAAATCATATAAATTCAAATAACCTAGGGTGGGATCCATTCTGGGATTTACAAAAAACACGAAAAAATAAAACCGATTACGTACCTACTTACTATATAAAAAAAAAATTTCATTCAGTCTTAAATGGCAACACTGAAATAAAATTTATATAATATAAAAAAAAGCCATAGAAAGCGCTTTATTTACAATCAATTTCAAGCAATATCAAATTGGTAACTCGAATTACGCTGAAAAATGAAAAAATCTTATACAATTATTCGGTTATATTTGACGGCTGCTCGTTTAATTTACAAGTATATTGAGAGCCGTGCAAAATTACCGCTGCCTCATTTGCTTGTCCTCATTATAATTAATAATTATATAATTTAAAATAATAATAATTAATTAATTAATTAAAAAATGCATGAATTATTGATTTATCAGTCGAACGGATTAACTTAAACTAATGAGTATTCATCCAAAGTACAGCGTAGTATCTGAAAAAGATAAACATATATTAGTTTAATAAAAACTGTTTTGCACTACTATTAAATAATGTTATATAATTATATATATTTATATATAATTATCGTCGTGTGGATCTCGCTTAATAATGTTTGTTATTGGTTATAGAACGTGTTCTAGTTTAGACAGCATATTTATATTATACTTGTTTATACGTAATTATTGTGTATGTGTGTGAAGCTTTATTAGTGTGTGTGGAGTTTAAATAAGGATAAAATTTGCAATATAAAATAGATAAGATTTTTGAAGCAACACTTGTTATACCATTGTGTCGGCTCGTCTTTGATTTCTGAGACAATATGCAACACTTATTCACAATAAAGATTTGCGTAACAGCTCACCACCTCAAAGACAACGCGCCATGTTTTATAACTTATAGTTAAATTTTTTTTGCGATATTTATTATTTGAATTGCAAAAAACTAAACATTTGTTCGTAACAAAATGTTCTATGTTTGTTCGAGTTAATTGTTCCTTTTAAGTTATTGTTCTTTTTTTAAATGCGGCTCGGTTAAAACAACTATTATGCCAGTGATTTTTTTTTAATTTTACGGTCTGAAGTAGAGAGCTTTTTGAAAGAAGGTTGTATATAAATATTAAATAAAAATACACCTGTGTAGAATATGTCTTTTTGTAATTCAGGTCAGCAGAGCCAATTACAATCGTCGTATAGAGGACGCTAATTATTATAGAAGCGCATAGTTTAGTTATTCCCGTGCAAAAACCTGCTGGCGTACGACACTTGTTGCCTGCACCGGCTTTGAACATCCTTGAAGGATCAGGCTCTACACACCTGTCCGATATATAGCCATGTGCCTTAAATTATTCCATCAAATTCATTTTTCGCATACGATGCCATTTTTTTTTTAATATATTTAACGCGCCAACCGACAACAGATGGCGTTGGACTCTAAACTTAGCCTGAGTAATTTTTATTTTAATAGTTTTCAAATATGTAAATAAAAAATTACATTAATTTAATAATAATTTTTCTATTGGATCATTTTCATCTCGATCGCTTGAATCGTCAACTAGAACAGTTTGTACCAGGAGATCATGACTGTGACGGAGTTTACTGAGACCGACTTTTATGCGGCAGTCAATGAGCGATTGCATAATGAATGTTACTGACGAGTTTCCTTGACCTTTATTTTGAAATAATACAAAATATGTATTATATTAATTACTATATTAATATCAGCTATGTATTACATAGAATTAAATGCAGTAAATTTAATTATAAACAAGACAAATGCTATTTTAAAACATCGAAGGCGAAATGATACGCGGAAGTTAATAAATAATGCCGTTCCTCTAGCAAGATCAAGAAAAGCGAGTTATCTTCAGCTTATTACGCGAAGTCCGAGTACCAGGCTCGCAGATATCGCGGGAGGCCGACTTATGACGTGCTTAGTTTCAGTATACATAACATAGGCCGTGTGTCTGTGTGCGTGTGATACGCGTGTGTGTGTACGTGTAAGTGTAGCCGTGTTAGTGTGTGTGTGTGTGTGTCTGAGCGTGTAGGCGCGTCACAATCACAGCCACTGACGACATTTTGACGCATTCCATCCCCATTATAACACTTTTTGTCCTTTACTACGGCCTTTGTACAATCTGCAACTATTACACGTCACAATGTACACCGATTTAAACGATATAATTATAATTACATAATTAAAAGTATCGAAAGAAATATTTATTTGAGCGTAAAACACAAATGGCGTAAAGCCACTTTTTTTTATAATTTGTAAGGTTGACGTACTCGCTCACACGGAGGCGCTCGGCTTGTTCGTTGCCTCTTAGAAGTGTCTATGCGGAAACAGCTATTAACACACGTTTGCTATGAGATAGCATGTAGTGTAGAAAATATACATACATACATACAAACAAACATACATACATACACAGCCGAAACTTTAAACTACACACAGTGTTCATACATTTTCCATCCACACTAATGTTTTGTTCGTGAGCCGTCACTGCGATCTAAGTACCAGGACATCATACATTACATGGAGTTCTTTGATATATTCGATAAAATCACCAAAAAGGTTTTATATAAATAAATTTAATTTAATTTCTATATATATTATACAGGGTGACTGGTGAATTACTATCAATATTTAAGGAGAATACTCGGTACATGATTCTCATTCGAATTATGTAAACAAAATAGGTAGTTAATTTTTGACCAAATTTCCGTATAAATAAATAAAATGTGGACACGTTCCAAGTGTTTCAAGTGTGGACGCGGGCGGCGGCGTGCTCATACAACACCACGCCGCCGCACGCGCGTGTGTGTGTGTGTATACCTAATCTGTAGGGTGTTCACACGATGCGTAATTAATTACATAACTTTTGGTTAACTTTACTTAGAAGTTTATTAATATTTATGTTATATTAATTTTTATTTTGTCATATATGATCGTCAAATATCACGTCCTCAAGTATCGATAGTAATTCACCAGTCACCCTGTATATTATGAGGGTGAATTACTCTGATTAGGTAGATGCAGAGTTGATTGAACTTCCATCTCATCATCTCGCCTCCGATGCACTGGTGTCAATGACTTGATAGATGACGAATACCAACAGAAAAACATTACAGGGTTGTTAGCTTTGGGTAAAACTAAAAAGTGACAACCCTAATTATATTAATGATAATTATGATATGATATAGTCTAGGAGCTATATATAAAATGTGATAATTTAATTAATTCCTTCTTGTTAGCTACAAGTGAAAATTCTAGCCACAGTACAAAACGTGTACATATAATATAACTTAAAAATAGTATATTCAATATTAAAAATATATAATATTTAATATATTTAGTGAATATTGAAACTAATTGAAATCAACTTTTGACCCGTTTTGCATTGAGTTACGTAAAATATTATGCAATTTAACTTGGCAAGGTTGATAAATATGTAATGCTTAGTCTTGTTACTTAAAAAATATTGACCTACAAGCTAATGTTTCATAACAGATTGGTATTTAAGTGACATTTTGGATTTAACTATACACGCAATACATTAAAATCATACTAATATTATAAATGCGAAAGTAACTCTGTCTGTCTGTCTGTTTGTTACGCTTTCACGCCTAAACCGCTGAACTGATTTTAATGAAATTTGGTACAGACATAGAATTGACCTTGAGAAAGAACATAGGATAGTTTTTATCCCAGACTTTTGAAAGGTTCTCTTGGAAACGCGATATAACCGAACTCCAAGCGGAAAGCTAGTTTTGTTATAAATATAATAATTACAAAACCAGAGATAAATTAAAAACAAAATTCTTGTCTATGGATATTATGTTTTTTTATTGAAATTAGGTATAGTCATTGACATTCTATAAAACATTAGTATAGACAAATAATGTATTTGAGTTGGAGCAATAAAAAGAACCAGTTTAAAGGTTTGTTGACTTCTTAAAATATTTTACTTACGAAGGATTCTAGCTCTGGCGTATTATATAAAATTGTTAATTATTCCTTTATTTATACAAAAAAACAATAATTTTATTATATTTAAACATGTATAGGTACTTTTTTTTATTGTATTTCGGCTCTACTCATATGTTTATTATCTGTGGAGCATTCTCAAGGTTATTGTAGCTTGTTATTTTTTTCATTTATTATTATTGAAGAGGGAATATTTGTATAATTATTTTTAATAGACAAAATGATTAATAAAATATGTTTTCATTATTACAACTAAAATTTCGTATTCCTTTGTAAAATTAATCTTAATATTAAGTAAAATACATACATACAGCCCTGATAACCATTGTGAAATATTAATTACTCTAAATAAATGTTACTATTTGCTACCATTTATTACTATTACTATTACTGGCAACACCATAAAATGTTTTACGACTTTTTAATTTATTTCAAGCGTTTACGATTTAAAACCATAACAACATAACTAGAAGGGAAAATTGAATAAAATTTGAATAATTAATAATTTTAAGGTAAAATAAAGATTGTATTAAATTATATAAATCGTTCTAATGGAAGGAATATTGATTGAAAACGTATATTTCCAAAGCAATTGTTTCTCATACATTCAAAACATAACCATTCGGTCCGCTTTATCGATACATTAACACTTTGTTTAACAAACTCGCTGTAAAGATAAAGGTTGTTATACGAATTACAGCATAAGTTACATTATAACAAAAATTACTGACATATTACAATATAGACGAAGACACGTGAAACTACATGTATTATTAGCAAAATTTGTCTAAGGAGCTTGACCTAGGATGACGCAATACCAAAAACAGGCCAGGTCAAGCAAGGATAAGAATTACTGACTCATATAACCTTGGAAATATATCAAAACTCTTTACGCGTTTTTTTATAACGAATAATAAAAAAAATATATAAAAAGCGCGATGTTCATTTTCGTATGTCGAGTCCGTTCGCTTCTATTCCGAACTCGGGCTCGTCCGCGAGTTCATTGACCTTGTATTTCGGCAAACACGGCATTGCGAGTTAAATTGTATTAAAAACGTATATAGGGACAATACAATAGGGATTATTTTATTACATTATTATTATTATGTAAAATAATTTTAATTGTCACTAATTTTTTTATAATAATCATCGCTTGTTTTTGCGATGGACGCAAACATCTCTGTCTGTTTGTGTGGGTCTCATCTTGTGTGTGTGTGTGTGGACGTGGAAGCGCGCGTTGAAATAAAATATGGCCGTACATCGAACCCGGCTGGTGCTATAAAAATCGCGATAATACCCGAAATTCGGGCACCGAAAAAAACCGCGTGGATTATTATAGTCTAAACATATATTCCCGAAGAAATGTATGCAGTAATATGATATAGATACATATATTAGTGGTTTAAAAACATATTTTTTAATTGGATATTAATTAGTATAAGGAAATAATTTTCTAAATGCATGTTATATATATAAAACATAATATTTTTATGTATATAATTATAATATTTAATGTTATATAATACGTACATTAGTTGGAACATATCGCGGCAACACTTCCTATATCTGTAACCACTGGATTGTATTTTTCCGATGTATCTGCATTTCCTGTTGGTTGGGTCAGCTGATTACCATTTCCGTACATCATGTGCCGACTGTTCATTTATATAGAACCTCCTTTTCCTGCATGAAGATGTCTCCTCTGGGTAAGTTCCCGTGAGAATCCTACGTTTGCCGCAGCACATTTTAGATGGTTTTTCTATTGTTGTATCGGGTTAGAGCCCTCATTATTTAATACTGGCCCGTCGGATCTAGTACATCCATGTTTATTCTAATAATCGTTTTAATACACACCAGTGGGGTCCAAGCTTTTAGCCATCAGTACTGCCCCGTCGGATCTAGACTACGGACGTACATATTAATAAAGTCCGGTCGGGTCCAATGTAACAATATCCATTTCACTGTTAACACAATCGTAACGTATCACAATATGTTTTTAATACGTACTGTCCGCGCGAATGCCGGCTGTGGCTCTGCGCGGCGAGGATGGCGCGCCCGTTTATATTATGAAAGCGCCATCTATCAACGCCATCTATCGGCGAGGGGATGAAACTGTGTAGAGTTTTCCGCTTCCAAATATCACCGACGCTGATTCATAGATGTTTATCAAAGTAAACAGCGTAATCTGGTTGAAAATTGATCTTAAATATGAAGATAAAAGTACATTCTCTATAAAACGATTAGTTGTTAAGTCGTTCCGTTTCAAAATGGATTAACCATCGCATATTCTTACGCCATTTTAATGCAAAAAACGGAAACCAAAATGTACTTGCAATTTGTTAAAATTATTATTTATAAACAATATTAAGAAAGCTGAAAAATCCAAAACCTTTGAGTTGCAAAAAAAAAAAAACCAAATTCTATACTTCTGACAGAACAAAGTCAAGTTAGTCATGAACTTACGAGGGGATTATATTAAATAATATTTAAGATAATTTTCCTATCTATTAATTAATTCTCAACCGGCAGCCATTACGGACGATACTAACATTTCCATTTCCATGCAGAAAACTATTTATATATCTTTCTCTTTCTTTACAAACCGGCTGAATAATATAGATTTATACTACAGGAAATTTGATTTCTCATTTAGACATTGCAATACTTATTGATGATTCTTTTAGAGAGCATTAAAACCTCTTTGGTATCGTTATGAATATAAAAACTCTTTGGTTATAAATATTGGCTGTTTAAATAAAGATATTAATTAATAATTGAAGTATTATTTGCGTATTTGTATATAGTATTTTGTTACTTATTTTATATACAGGAATAAATTAAATTCTTTTTAAAATAGTAATAAATACAACTAATTTTGAACATCTCAGTATAGTTCTAAATCTATTGTTTTTTTTAATTTCAAAGGTTTATTTTGGATTGAGTATGTATCATATATAAATCTTGTGGTATGTTTTATCTACTTTTTAAAGAACTCCATTTAATATGAAAATATATATTTCTTGATTAAATTATAAATATAACTTGAACATGTTTGTCTGTGAATTTAATTAGATGATATTAAGAAATGTCATGACTAGGGAAATGCGTACTTAATAATATATATACATATATTTTAAGTACTCCTTACACTACATTATATTATATAGTAATGAATAAACTTTAACCACTACATAGAATCTACTCAAAGATAAATCATACTTCTAAATTAATAATAAATTTAAGTTATACTATAAAAATCAAAATCTTTATACACACACAGCACACTCCGTCTTCGAAGTAGGTTAAAGTGAGAAAGCGTCAAGAGTGACGTCACTGAGTGACAATTCACGTTCGTTATAGCTTTGACCGCGGGTTTGCTCGAGTTGTAAATGAATTTTCATTTATTCATTCATTCATTTGCATTTAAATGAATGAAAAAAATAATAAATATATTAATTATTGTGTTATCTTGATAGTAGTTGCTTTTCTCAGCTTTAATGAAGCCTGTCAAGATTCGAGCAAAATAAAGAACAATTTACGTTTATTTCACTCATTGTAGTACTTATATATACATAAGTTTTTTAATATCTTCACTAAAATATTTAAACTATAATTTATAAAGTTTTCTACGAAAATATTTCTTGTATATAGTTCTTAATTTATTATAAATTCATAACAATAGATACTTTTATTGAAGTTCATTGAAAAAAATCTCACAAAAACCGAATTCTATATGAATAACCAATTTAATATCAATATTTCTTAATTTTAGACCTACAAACATATTTTTTATTTAATATTTAATACATAAAAATGTAATACAAATGTTTATATATCTAAATAATATGAAATAACAGATATTTTATTGGAAAACTGTCGTTAAAACTCAACTTGTACGAGTAGCTTCAAATCGCCAGGGTTTTCTTGGTCGCGTGAGTGAAAGGTGACTGTGAAAATGCAGTTTCCTGGTGAAAGGGTAATATATACATATATATATGTATATATATTTACTTTGCATGTATGTATGTATATAATTTGTGTTCCCTATATCTCCTAATCTCGTGTATTAATGTAAATATGATAAAAACTAAACGCATCCCTCTGTATTAAATGTATGTATTTATAAAATGCACCTGTTGTATTTTTTGATGTAAATTCGACTTTATTATGTATGTGTTAGGGTTTGGTATGTTGTGATGAAATTTAACAAAGATCTCATAGTTTTAGATTACTTTTAACGAAATTGAAATAAATTTTTGAGTTTATTTTATGATTCACTAAGAATTTATAAATTTTAGAAGAATTCATATATGTATTTCAAATAGTATATAAGGTTAAATAAATAAAGTTATATAATTTTAAAATGTAACTTTGTTTGTGGAAGTAATCTTTTTTTATATAAATACTTACAAATGTATATATATATATATATATATATATATCTTATAGTACTTAATAAAACCTTTATAATGCCAGGTGTTGGTCATTGTCGTTTATATTGTGTTCAATATGATATTTACTTCATCATTATTTATTTAACTTTTTTGATGTCGGATTAAAATAATTAAATGTTCATATATCACTATCAACTAATCTCTTATATATGTCACAATTCTATTAGTTTCATTAAATAATAATGTTATTTTATTTAAAATATTTTTTAAGACATCACATAAATTTTTTCTTGTTAATTGTAAAATTCACTTCAAAGTTAAAATTATAATAATATCTACGTATTATAAATGATTTTGAAAATAAACTTTATATTAATTTAAAAATTGTTTATTTATTCACATATATTTTCACAAATAGTTATTATTATTTCATGAAGTATTTTATTTCTATTTCCTCTCACTCGACCGCCACATCTAACGGCTGATGCAATGATATTAAAATATAACTAAATAAAGGGAAAAAACAATAAAAGTATGCATTTTATCATATAATATTTATTGTAGACGCCATCAACAACTAGCTAGAGTATTTAACTAACAGTCTTGTTATTTTAAATGAGTATAATATTCTATAAATGCGAATAACCTTCACAAAATTCACATACCAAAAAACTACTTATTCTACACAAAAAAAATAAATAAAGGTAACTTTAATAAATAAACAAGCCCTCGATTCAGACTTAAGAAGCAGTCTTTGGTTAATTACGTTATTTTTTTCAAACAATTTTCCTCTTTTTACGATTAGATGATACCTCTGTTCTACTCACTGATATGACTTTATGGCGTCGATGTAAACAACACTGGCTGGACATTGCGAAAATTTAACAATTTTAACTTAAAATACTGAGTTTTTAACCTAAATTATTGACTATTATAGCCATGTCTATAACTAGTAAACATTAGTGGGGTCTAACGCCATTACAACACAAAGTCTTTCAATACACTCCCGTGGGATCGAGTACTTTCATCTTGATTTTCTTCCAAATAAACACTGAATTTTCTATCAGTACACTCCCGTCGGGTCTAGCACGTACATGTTGATGTATTAACGACAGCTCCTCAATAAACTCCAGTGGGGTCAAGGCCGAACATCTTGAGTTATATCCCAAAAAACAGAATCGCCAAATTATCAATAAACTCCGGTAGGATCCAATCCAAACATCTTCATATATTCCAAATCTGTGTCTCGAATGTCCAAATTCAGTAGATGCCGGTGGGGTCTAGAACCTTGTACATTTCAATTCAATGTTCCTTGAACTGTGATCGATCTTATTTACGTAGTTCTAGCTGTTAGGACGTGTGCACGCTTCGAAGTCTCAATACCGACTGGTGGCTGCGCGACCACGTGCCTCCCTTTTATACCTGATCTCGGTCCCAGTTGCGTATTTTTTTTTTTTTGCGACAATTTTGGAAGCTTTCAGCCGTAAGCGTTCGCGCCCCCGCCCTTAGGGTTTTTTTTAAACCATTAAAAAAATGCCATACTGCTTACATGCAAGATGTTCATATGTTATCACGCATTGATTTTGATTAATTAATTATTAATTTTGATAGAACATTCGTCATTATAAAAGATTAATATGAGTTTTGTTAATGATTTGTATAGATTACAACTAAGCGTAAATACAAAATAATATGTAAACAATTTTGTATATTTGATAGTGTTACTGGGTCACGTAATACGATTAGGCTGAGACATACTGAGCATTAAAAGATATTTAAGTATTACAACTTCATTAATGAATTAAAATATCGATCTCTAGCAAAATAATATCAAAACAAATTGTTTGAATATTTAATATATTTTTTTTAGTAAAATTTAATAATAATATGAAAAAAAATAGTTTTAAAATTTTATAATATGTAATCCTATTATTACAGCAAATGTATACTGAATTCAGATAATTAATTAAATATTTTATTCAACTTATTATTTGATTAAAAAAATATATAAAAAAACCTAATTAATTATATTTAAAAAACGAGTACACATATTTTTAATTTGAAGTATTATAAATAAAAAATCTGTCAAATATATGTATAAAATATATAACAAATATATTATTAATCAGAATTTACAATTAACAATGAAAAAATAAAATTCCATGTAAGGCCGTAATAAAAATCACTTTTATATATCAATACAATCAATATTAGTGGGAAAAAATTTAACTAACAAATAAAAACTCCCAGGTCCGATGGTGTAGAAAAATTATAATCTTTTAATACACTTAAACTGACCGACGTTTTAAAAAGGGTTTAAGATATTAAAGTTAGTTAGTGAGTTAGTCAAA